TAAAGGTTATTTTGGCTCCATATATCTCTGTTGGACTGCATTCTCCCAAATGAGGATAATCAAGGTCAAATATTTCTCCAGCCTCACTGGTAGCTACTTGACGGACTGTATACAGCTAGCAGTCTCAAGCTTCAGTCACAGTGATGTGCATTCGCACGTACTGCACTGAGACTTGATGAGTAGAGGACAAACTAAACAATATATAATGGTTTTAGATTTATCTGGCATTATAAATAATCTGTTTATTCTGCAGCATTACAAAATGCTAAATAGTCAAGGTGCTAAAAGTGGGAGGAAATTAATGTAATAACTATTACTTGAGCAAAGAAAGGACGACGGAAGTAATGGGGTTAAAGCGTTGTACACTAGATTTTTAAAGTAAGTATGTGGCGATATTGGATGCATTGGTACTAATCTTCCAGGAATCCTTAAATTCTGGAAAAGTCCAAGGGGATTGGAAAACTGCCAAAGTAACATCCTTGTTCAAAAAGGGAGTGAGCCAAAAAGCAGGTAAATATAGGCCAGTTAGCTTAACTTCTGTCATTCAGTCAATGTTAGAGCCTATTGTAAAGGATGTAATTGTGGAGCATTTAGAAATTTTTTTTTCTTTATTCATTCATGGGATGAGGGTGTCACTGGCCAGGCCAGCATTTATTGCCCATCCCTGATTACGCAGAGGGCAGTTGAGAGTCAACCACATTGCTGTGGGTCTGGAGTCACATGTAAGCCAGAGCAGGTAAGGATGGCAGTTTCCTTCCCTAAAGGACATTAGTGAACCAGATGGGTTTTTCTGACAATCGACAATGGATTCATGGTCATCACTAGATTCTTAATTCCAGATATTTTATTGAATTCAAATTCCACTATCTGCTGTGGCGGGATTCGAACTCAGGTCCCCAGAACACTGTCTGGGTCTCTGGGTTAATAGACCAGCAATAATACCACAAAGCCATCGCCTCCCCATAATATGATCATGTTGAGTCAGCTTGGTTTCTTGAAGGGGACGTCATGTCTAACAAATTTCGTATAATTCTTTGAGGAGGTAACGTGTAGGGTAGAAAAAGGGGAATCAGCAGATGTAATATATTTTGATTTCCAAAAGGCATTCATGCACATAAGGCTACTTAAGACAAGAGCCCATGGAGTGGGGTTACATATTAACATGATAGAGGATTGGCTAACTATTGAAAGACAGTTGGTGATAAAGGGTATATTTCAGGATGGCAACTTGTAATTAGTGGATTGCCACAGCGATCAGTGCTGGGGCACAATTATTTACAATGTATATTAATAACTTGGATGATGGAAATGAATGAACTGTTACCAAGTTTGTGGAAGATACAAAAATAGGTGGGAAGGCAAGTGGTGAAGATGGCACAAGGAATTTACAGAGGGATTATTGACAAGGGAGGTGAGTGAGAAAAAGCTTGGCAGATGGAATATAAGGTGGGAAAATATGGGGTTATGCACTTTGGCATGAATGAATTAAAGTGCTGAATATTACTTAAATGGGGAAAAACGACAGAAAGCTGCAGAACAGATGGATTTGGGGGTGTGGTGCATGAATCAGAAAAAGCAAGTCTGCAAATTCCACAGATAATAGGGAAGGCTAATGGAACGTTGGCCTTAATTTCAAAGTGAATAAACTGTAATAATAGAAAGGTCTTGTCAAGTTTGAACAAGGCACAGTTGAGATTACAGCTTCATTGCTGTGTATAGCTTTGGTTCCCTTATTGAAGGTAAGATACACTGGCATTGGAGGCAATCCAGACAAGATGCACTAGGTCAATGTTGTATATGAAATGATTTTCACATAGGAGAGGTTCGTTCAGTTGGGTAAGTACTCACTTGTGTTCAGGAGAACAAGGTGTGGAATTCTTTACTATAGAGGGCTGTCGAGGGTGGGTCATTAAGTCTATTCAAGGCTGAGGTAGACAGATTTCTGATCATTAAAGAAATAAAAGGAAGTGGAGTTGAGGATTATTAGATCAGCCATGATCTCATTGAATGGCAGAGTGGTCTTGATGGGGTGATGGCCAACTTCTGTTCCTACATCTTGTAGTCTTATTTTCTTTGGGGTAGTTACTGAGCTGCTCTTAAATTCAAAATGTGATTGTGTGCTTAAAAGGGTTTGAGACCACTGATCTTCAAGATGCACTGCTGAGGTTCACCAAGGCTCCTATTACAGCACCTTCCAACCCATTCCCATTACCATCTTAGAAGGATAAGGGAAGCAGATACACAGGAACACCACCACCTCCAGTAACTCTCCAAGCCGGTCACTATCCTGACTTAGAAATATATCATCATTCTCTACTAGGTCAAAATCCTGGATCTCCCTTTCTAATAGCATGTGGATATATCCATGTCAAGTGGATTACAGCAGTTCAAGCAGGCAGCTCACCACCATCTTCTTAAGGGCAATGAGGGATGGACAATAAATTCTGCTCAGCCAGTGAAGCCCACATCGCCTGAATGAATAATTTCCCAGCAGCATGTAAAATATTTGGGTATGCTCCTATTTGTATAAAGTTGTATAGTTCTAAAGTGCCATAGAGTGGCTCTGCATGCTGAGCCTCGTACCTGAGGAACACACTTTCATTGTTTAAAGATCTGATCTCATGAATATGGGCTATTCAGATTTGTGCGCTCAGAATGGGAGTTGTGACCATTGTGATGAGATGCAGAATTAATTCTGAAGTCATCTGTAGTTATTTGTAAAAGAACTGTCTCTGACAACGAACTGAATATTCAAGTCCTCACAGTCATTGGAATCAAGGTGGCCAGGGGGTGAACAGACTAATGCCAGCTTGGATGGCATTCCTGGCACAGACATATTTCACCGGAGTGATCCTGAGATACCACCCAATCCATTATTAGCACTCATTAACTTCGTTAAAGAGCTCACTTTGAGCCCATTAAGGGGCATGTTTTGATTTTTATAAGGGCATTTTGGCCCCTTTTCTTTCACTCTTGATGCCCTTATCTGTAACCAGCTGAGAATAACTGTGTCCTCCATGGTCTTTGGGGGAGTTGCCTCTGCTACTCATGCACTATTTATAACTTAGTAGTACTTCATCTGATGTGTGAGACGGTGCAGTGAGGTGATTGAATCTGTGCTGATAGAGGATGCAGTTGTAAGGTGCATTTTCTTAGCTCTGCTGTTACTGTTCTTGGCCCACTGATGGTGAGGGAGTTAGTCTGATGTCTGGTTATCTGCATCTGTGAGAGACATGAAAAAAGATCATGAAGACCAGCTTTGATGAAAATAAATCTCTGCTTTGTTGAAGCTTCCTCCTGCAATTAAGTCTTTAGTATGCTACTGAGCAAGGTGGAGTTCAATGCATCCTCTTAATGAATTCATTGCGCTCTGTAATCACAAACAACTCCTTATGTTTATTTTGCCTTGACTGAAATTTGCACTGTATGTGACCCTGGTGATATTCATAGCATGACACTAATAACATGAAGGAAAGATCCCTATACTTCTATGTGGACTTTCTCCTGGACATTATACGACTGTTTTTATTGTAAAACAAAGGAGAGTATGATAAGGTACTCCTGGCCTGGATGGCCAATTTTTAAATTATTATGCACAATATTTACCTTTTCATATTTTTTTCTGCAGTGAGGAACATAAGAATGAAGAGCAGGAGGAAGTAATTCAGTCTCCTGAGCCTACTTTGCCATTTAATATGATCATAGCTGATCTCATTTTGGCCTGAACTCCACTTTCCTGTCTGTTCTTCATAACCCTTAAGCATAATTGAAGCTGCCTGCTTAGGAGTCTTTACAAGAGAACATACCTGTTAATGGGCTCAAAGTGAGCTCTGTAACAAAGTTAATTGACTCCAGGTGAAACACTGTGTTGATACCAGTATTTACCGAAGAATAGATCTGTCTCAATCTCAAGAAGACTCATACTAGTTTTGTCTCTGTGTTTGAACCAGGAGGCCTGGGTTTAAGTCCCACCTGCTCCAAAGTTGTGTAATAACATCTCTGAACAAATTGATTAGAAAATATCCAGCACTAATATTTTCACCTGCTGCCTTGGTTGACATGCCAGTGAGGACTCAAACATTGAGTTCTTTGGCAAAGATAGTTCTTTTAGAGTCATAGAGGGTTACAGCACAGAAAGGATTTTCGTCCTATTGAGTCTACATTAGTCAAAAAAAGCCACCTAACTATTTTAATCCCATTTTCCGGCACTTAACTTATAGCCTTGTTTGTCTGGGCTCGTAAAAAACTATAGATGATATTAGGATTAATTTTTCAATCTAATAACAATGGTATCAGAATTCTTCTTTTGGATATCCTGTTTAACCAACTCTCAAATCTAATCACTACATTAGAAGCTGCATGTTCAAAGCTGGCAGGTCTTTAGCAGAACTATAATTGATTCATTCCAAGAAGTCAATTAAGAGTTCTAGGATCACACTGCTCCCATGTTCAAGAGAAGTATATGGCCTCAGGCTCCTCAGCTTTTGTGACTGCTGGAGGATGAGTACCTAAAAACCTGTCCTGCTCAAAACATCTGACATAAATTACATAAACGTTTACAAAACTGATTTAGGACTTTTAAAATATTACCATAAAGATTTCTAGAAAAGCTGAATGTCTCAATGAATTATTTCAGCATCTACTTATGCATTTATTTGAATGAAATGTAAACTCATATGTTGTGCTGGTAAGTATCACTGATGTCAATTTCTGCATGAGATGATTCATGTCAGATTTAAATTACATAATTCACTTTGAAAGTGTAGTGTGTGGGGCCTTGTGGTGCAGTGGATGTGTCCCTACCTTAAACCAGGGGGCCCAAGTCCCAGCTGCTCCAGAGGTGTGTAATAACATCTCTGAACTGATTAGAAAAATAGGTTATTAAAAAAAAACTTATTTTAGAAAATGCAGATGTAATGTGCACTTGCAATACAGTACATTACACTTGCATTACATTGTTGCTGTGAGGACTGATCTAAGCTTTCATGTTTCAAATACAGATTCCAGCTGCCCATTTGTTAACAGCTTCTGTGATGTCTGCTCCTGCAGCTCTGGCTGTAGCCAAACTGTTTTGGCCTGAAGAAGAAGTTCCAAAGATAACAACCAAAACTAACCTCAAGTTGGATAAAGGGTCAGTTTCATTGCTTTTTTCATTGCTATTTGAAGGTGAAAGTCATAAAAGGTACCGGGTGTGCTGCCCTCCTGATAAAATAATAAAAGGGAAAAGGTCCGAAGTGCTACATCTTGCTGGAATAAGTTTAGTTAGACTTCTTCTGCACACTTCCAGCAAATTATGGCACAAATTACTTTTGAATTGAAGTATGAACTATTAAGGAGGAGGTGAGGGCAGTGAAACATTTGGACTATTCACGAACAAATGGATGATTAGTATATCTCCCTTAACAAGAATTAAGGATTGAAAATTAATCTTAAAGGCAGAGGTAAATTAGAGCTAAATCAGGTAGAGAAAGTGAAAAAGATTAAAAGAAGGTCGACTTAGAAGAGAGAAAAGGGACAGAAAGGAAAAGCAACAAAAATATACAGCAAGTTTTAAATGTAACTTCTTCAAATTTCTAAGAATTTAGAATCTCTAAGAATCTTTGCAGGAATGAAACCCTACATTTTAATTTGTTCCCTTTCTGCACTTGTGATGTTGATTGACTTCACCTTAACAATTCACTGAAGCGCAGAAGTATAACAGCAGAGAAAGAAGCTGTTTGGCTCATTGTGACTGCATCACCTCAATAATTGAGCATTTTTTCCTGCTCTTTGCCTTTACACTTGCACATTATTTTTTATCTGAATAATCATCCAATGCCTTCTTGAACACCTCAATTGAACCTACCTCTACTGCACTTCCAGGCAGTGCATTCCATACCCTAACTACATGCTGAATGGGCAAGTTTTTCCTCAATTCACTCTTCATGCTCTTGTTCTTACAAGCAGGAATAATTTCTTCTTATTTTTTGAGAAAGATATCACTCCTTTCTTCTTCCTTTCCTTCTGTACAGCTGAGCTACTGCACCACCACAATTGTGGCTCTGACTGCTCTTGCTTGAGAAACCAGTCCCCTCATCAGTTTTCAAAATGGAAAATGAATTTTTGAGTAAGAAATCAGTTTGCCTATTTGCCTGTTTATTTCGGACTGGTTGATGGTTGCCCATTCCCTTCCTTTCTCCAGTCCCTTAGGTTGCAGTGTGAACCTGTCTCGGTGTGCAATCAACATAGCTCTCTGCCCTGCGGACCTGCCACAGTGTTGCCAATTGTTGTTCAAGCTCTGAAAGTCAGAGCTCAACTTAGCTGATTTCAGCTTCAACAATTATCATGCTGCTAAAGGGGAACTTGCAGAGTTGTCATGGCTGTCTGCATTAGTGCACTGGAAATAAAGCTGTGCTGTGCCCAGAGGTGGCATAAAAGTTAAGGATGTTTAAAGAAAAATATTCTCCAATTTACCTGATGTTCAGACCGGAGTTGGTAGAAAGTATGGATTGAGTTTCTGGACTTAAAAAGAATGACTTTTTATTACAAGTAATTAGACCCTAGTTGCAGGTAATTGGTCATAAAGCATTGGCACATAACGTTACATATTAAAAGTGTAATCCCCTTAAACTCCCTCTCTCACACAATGACAAATGAACAGACAGGGAAAGACAGATTATGGATAATAGAAAACTGTGAGGAAGTTCAATGACTTCTGTTCATGAGTTGCTGAGTTGATCCTTGTGATTCTTATGCAGGTCAAAATGTTGCCTGACAGTCGCTTTTATGCAGATGCTTTCACTGATTTGAGTTGTTGGTTGGTTCGCCGAGCTGACTGGTTTTTGTGCAAACGTTTCATCCCCCTTCTAGATGACATCTTCAGTGCTGTCTAGCCTCTGTTGTAATGCTGTTGTTTTGTTCTGTTCTGAATTTTTGAAGTCCGGTCTGTTATGGTGGGTAGTCCTGTTTCCGGTTTTGCTCTGCAGTGATACGTAGATGGGGTCTATTTCAACTTGTTTACTTATCATACCAGTGGTTGAAAACCAGGCTTCCAGGAATTCTCGTGCATGTCTTTGTTTTGCTTGTCCTGGTAGTGTTATGTTGTCCCACTTAAACTGATGTCCTTCTTTGTCGGAGTGAATAGAAACGAGGGAGAGTTGGTTTTGACGTTTTGCTGCGAGTTGGTGTTCATGTATCCTGGTGACGAATTTCCTGCCTGTCTGTCCTATGTATTGCTTCTGGCAGTTACTGCATGCTATTTTGTATTTCACATTTGTCCTGCTCATTGTGGGTATGGGGTCTTTCATCTTTGACAGTAGCTGGCGAAGTTTGGCTATTGGTTTGTGTGCTATCATTATTCCAAGAGGTTGTAGGTGTTTTGTAGTCAGTTCTGATATGTTTCTAACATTGGCTACCCTACCCTATGTGTTGGGGTATACAATGTCTTCTTGGTGTTGTTCATTTGCCAGGCATCGGTGGATGAAGCTATTAGGAAACCCATCATTTGCAAAGAATTCGTTTAGGTATTCCTCTTCATTTTCACGTAGCTCCGGGGTGTTGCAGTGTGTTATCGCTCGTTTAAACAGAGTCTTGACACAGCTCTGTTTGTGAACGCTGGGGTGGTTACTGTGGTAATTCAGGATTTGGTCTGTGTGTGTCTTCTTTCTGTATGCACTGGGAAGGAATTCACTGTCGTTTGATCGTTCCACCATTATGTCTAGAAACGGGAGTTGATTGTTGTTCTCTTCTTCCCCGGTGAACTTGATCCCGGTGAATATGCTGTTAATAAGGTGGTGTGTTTCTTCCAACTTTGCTTGTTTAATGATCAAAAGTATCGCCCACGTACCTGACCCATAGTTTAGGTTGGATCTGGGGGAGTGCTGTGCGTTCAAGTCTTTGCATAACTGCTTCCGTTATAAGATCCAAGATGGGTGAACCCATGGGTGTCCCATTAATTTGTTCATATACCTGGCTGTTGAAGGCAAAGTGTGTGGTAAGGCATAGGTCTGGTAATTTCTGCGTATTGTCCTTGCCGATGGTTTTGTTGGAGGCCTGTGTTTTCGGATTGTCTAGTTCGGCCAGCGACTCATTGTCTAGTGTCATTTTGATAGAGGTGAATCATGCTATAATGTTGAAGGAGACCATTATTTCATCCTTGTTGATTTTTATGTTTCTGATGTTATTCAGGAATTCCTGTGCAGAGTGTATGCAGTGAATTGATCCATTGGTGAAGTGTTTCAGTCCATGTTGTAGCTCCTTGGCTAGCCTGTGTGTTGGTATGCCTGGCAAAGAAACTGTCGGTCTGAGGGTGATGTCCAGTTTGTGCACCTTGGGTAGTCTGTAGAATTGGGGGATGTTTGAACCATCAGGTTTCATTTTTAGAAAGTCTGTTCTTGTTATTTGGTCAGACCGTTGTAATTTCTTCAGTGTATAGGTGATCCTGTTCTGTAATTGTGGCGTGGAGTCTGACTCCCTCTGTTGGTAAGTGTTGGTATCTGCAAGTAGTTTTTATGCTTTATCAATGTAGTCCGATTTATTCACTACAGCTGTCAAGCGGCATTTGTCTGCTGGTAAGATTATGATTTTCCTGCCCTCCTTTAATCCTTCGAGAGCTTTTCTTTTTAATGTGTTGAGTGTGTTTGATGGTTTCTCCTGTTCAGTGTAGGGACTATGGTTTGTCAGACGGCCTGTCGTGTTTCGTCTGTGAGTCCATTAGATTTCAGTGTAAGATAACAAGGTGTAGAGCTGGATGAACACAGCAGGCCAAGCAGCATCAGAGGAGCAGGAAAACTGACGTTTCGGGTCGAGACCCTTCTTCAGAAATGGGGGAGGGGAAGGGAAAGGGGAGTCTGAAATAAATAGGGAGAGAGGGGAAGGTGGATAGAAGATGGATAAAGGAGAAGATAGGTGGAGAGGAGACAGGTCAAAGAGGCAGGGTTGGAACCAGTAAAGGTGAATGTAGGTGGGGAGTTAGGGAGGATGGACAGGTCAAGGAGGTGGGATGAGGTTAATGGATAGGAGATGGGGGTGGGGCTAGAGGTGGGAGGAATGGTGAGGGAGGCGGGGACGAGCTGGGCTGGTTTTGGGATGCGGTCGGGGGAGGGGAGATTTTGAAGCTTGTGAAGTCCACATTGATACCCTTGGGCTGCAGGGTTCCCAAGCGAAATATGAGATGCTGTTCCTGCAGCTTTTGGGTGGCATCATTGTGGCAGTGCAGGAGGCCAAGGATGGACATGTCGTCCAAGGAGTGGGAGGGGGAATTGAAATGGTTCGCGACTGGGAGGTGTAGTTGTTTGTTGCGAACTGAGCGTAAGTGTTCCGCAAAGCGGTTCCCAAGCCTCCGCTTGGTTTCCCCGATGTAGAGGAGGCCACAACGGCCACCCGCTACCCGCAATAACAACCAAAACAGAATCCCCCTTGTCCTCACGTACCACCCCACCAACCTCCGAATCCAACGCATCATCCTCCGACACTTCCGCCATCTGCAATCTGACCCCACTACCAAAGACATTTTTCCCTCCCCACCCTTATCTGCTTTTCGGAGGGACCACTCTTTCCGTGACTCCCTTGTCCGCTCCACACTCCCCTCCAGCCCCACCACCCCTGGCACTTTTCCCTGCAACTGGAGAAAGTGCTACACCTGCCCCTACACCTCCCCCCTCACCCCCATCCCAGGCCCTAAGAAGACCTTCCACATCAAACAGATGCTCACCTGCACATCTGCTAATGTGGTATACTGTATCCGCTGTTCCCGCTGTGGCCTCCTCTACATCGGGGAAACCAAGCGGAGGCTTGGGTACCGCTTTGCGGAACACCTACGCTCAGTTCGCAACAAATAACTACACCTCCCAGTCGCGAACCATTTCAATCCCCCCTCCCACTCCTGGGACGACATGTCCATCCTTGGCCTCCTGCACTGCCACAATGATGCCACCCGAAAACTGCAGGAACAGCATCTCATATTTCGCTTGGGAACCCTGCAGCCCAAGGGTATCAATGTGGACTTCACAAGCTTCAAAATCTCCCCTCCCCCGACCGCATCCCAAAACCAGCCCAGCTTGTCCCCGCCTCCCTAACCATTCTTCCCACCTCAAGCCCCACCCATTAACCTCATCCCGCCTCCTTGACCTGTCTGTCCTCCCTGAACCGACC